TGTGACCATTTGGACCCTGCTCTCCAGCTGTCTTCTATGCATTCTATCCCGCTGGTGCTTATCATGCATGCACTACGACAAGAGCCACCTGATTATGCCTAATTAGGATCCCTCACACGTGCGTGCATGCATCTACGCATGCTATTTGTTGTCGTGACAGAGACCTTTATTCCAACAACTTGACTGGCGCCATTCCCGAGTCCATTACCAACCTCGCAAAACTTAATCACTTGTGAGTGCCATGCCATCTTTCGGTGTGAGTCCCATCTTTTTTTGGAGGCTGTGGCTCAGATCGGATGGGAGCTCTTCATGCCTTGAGATTTGCAGGTGATCCTATGATGTGTACTCTTGGTGTGTGTTCTCCTGCTGTCTCCTATCCACACTCTCCTCGTGTTGCTGTATCATGCATTGCCAGAAGGGGTCCCTGCTAGCCTGCACCTCCTCTTGAGAGCAGGGATGTGAACAAGCCCAAGTCAATTTGGATCAAGCCCTTTCTCTTTGAATCTTGTGGTCGTGGCTGGTCCCGAGCCGGGGCGTCTCATGACGATCCGAGCAGTGTTGTCCCATCACATGGCAGCTTTGCGTGGTCTTGCCTGTCTCGGCTTGTCCACAGGTTCCTAGCCGCTCTCGGATATTGCGGTTTGTAGAGCCGTCTTGCACGACTTCGGACGAGCCAAACATTCGGCTAGGCCACGTGCGTCTGCCTGAGTCTCACGTCATTTATGCCCTTGGATGTCTTCAATTTTCAGAGATCTGGCGCACAACATGTTGACCGGCACCGTTCCGGGCTCCATTAGCAAACTTGCGAACCTTACTTACTTGTGAGTGCCATGACATGCCCCTTGGGCCTTTGCTGTGCTGCAACAGGTCTGGCCTGTTTGGGCTTGTCATTGCTCGACTCATGCGGCTTGTTGAGTCAGCTCGGTGCCTCTTCAGATAACAAACAAATGAGGCGAGCTGTCGGCGGGGCCACCTGCTCTTGCCTAATCCGGGGATTATTAACACAACACGACGTCTGGTCCTGCTCCTGTATGCATGCCCTTCATTGCCTTTACAGCGACCTGAACCACAACACTTTGACTGGCACCATTCCCGAGTCCATCACCACCCTTGCAACTCTTAACAGCTTGTGAGTGTTATGCGTACTTGTGGATATCTGTCCCAGATTGCAGCCATTTATGCCCTCAGATCTGCATGTGTTGCCGTGAGCTGTCTGTATGCTCTTGGAATATGTAGCTTGCGGGGCCCGAGGTGGAGGTCGTCGGGGAAGAGGCGGAAGACGGGACGGGGGCGCAATCGTCGGGGGAAGAGAGGCGCTTGTGAGATCGGGAACGTGGCGGGAACGCCACGATCGACCACAACAAGAATTGACACCGATGAATCAGGAGGTGGAGGAATGTGACGACAACGATGACGGCTAGGAATATGTAGCCGAGGCATCGCAAGCCTTGGAAGAGATCTCGTTGGAGGAAGAGGGAGCCACGGCAAGGAGAGCCAGGAGACGCAGTACGGGTGGGAGAAACCCTCAGCAGGAAAACCACCAAGAGATAAACCCCCAGGAGCAAGTAGAGACTGGAGAGGCGTGGGCCAGAGAGAGCCAAGAGGGCCGAAGGTACAACCGTCTGCTGACCTGGCAGCAGATGACTCCATCTGGCAACAAGCAGCCATGTGGGAGGTTGCACCACTCCAGCGGAGTGACCAACCTTTCTTGGTTCGGAGAATGCCCCCCAAAATCCTGGAGAGTTACACCCTCTGTGTCCTGGCCCCACTCCTGCGCCTCACGAAACATCCCGACTGCCCCGGGGCTTGGGCGATCCTGCAATTTCTTCCAAGGCTGACTCTACGACCCCTTCCCGAACCTGTTGAAGGAAGCCGATGGTCAGGGATTGAGAGAAGATTGCACCAGTTCTAGCAAGGCAGATGGGGGGAACTCTTCGAGGAGGCAAAAGTCATCCCCGACATGGAGAACCCAACAAGACACCAAGCTGATGATGCGGGAATCTATGCTAGGGTGGAGGGTTTGATGAAAAAGGGTAACATTTTGAAGGCAGTTGCAGAATTACGAACAACCCCACTCGCAGAAACCACACTAGCGACGCTCGCGGCACTGCACGCGAAACACCCTGCTGCGGCCTCGCCCACCTCGACTCGTGTCTTTGGCTACACCCACTCGGCGCTGAGAGTTACCCCCGACGACCTTCGCGAAATACTTAAGCGATGCCCGAACGGAGTGGGAGCAGGGCCTTCGGGCACTTGTTTCGAACACCTCAAAGACCCAATGCTCGCGAGTCAGGAAGTGCTCATACTCGCAAAAACAGTCAGCTACCTCCTTAGCACCTTCCAGTTCCAAGCCGTCCATGACTTGCTACTCCCCTCGAGGCTCATCGTCCTGGAAAAACTGGGAGGCGGAGTTCGTCCCAAAGCAATAGGAGAGGCACTACTTCGCATCGTGGCAAAGGCGGCCCTGAAAGAGCTAGGCCAAAACATCCGCGAGTTCTTTCTCCCCGTACAGTTTGGCGTGGCAGTCACGGGCGGTGCGGAGTGCATCGTACATTCAGTTCGTGCGCAGCTTAAAGAGGACGAGACTCGCATAGCGCTACAGCTCGACATCGAGAATGCCTTCAATAGTGTTGAACGACCGGCATTTTTCCAGGCACTCTTGCAATCGAGCTTGCTCTCTCTTTTGCCCCTAGTTCGCACGCTGTATGAGGGCCCGTCGCGTCTCCTAGTGGACCACAGGCTGGGCGTCGACCAGATCGTGAGCAGCCGTGGTGTCCTCAGGGAGACCCACTGGGCCCGCTCCTTTTTGCAGCGGCGATCCAACCTACGCTGCTGAGTACGGCAACACTCTTCCCTGAGGTGGCGATTGTTACCTATGCCGATGACATCACTGTCGTGGGACCACGGGATGCGGTGTATGAGGCGTTTATCAACATCACAAGGGAGCTCACCTCGCTCGGGCTCCGTTGCAACATCGCCAAGTCCACGGGGTGGGGCAAGAGCATGGAGGAGGGAAACGAGATACCACCCCCGCAGGGTCTGCCATTGAACACCAACAGCATTGGAGTTTTGGGGAGCCCGATCGGGACACCTGCCTTCTGCACGGACCAGGCACAGGCGCGACTCACGGAGGCATCCGCTCCATTGCCTCTGATAGCGCAGCTTCACCCCCAGCATGCCATGCTCATGCTCTCTCGGAGCATCTCACGCAAGATTTCCTACCTGTTGCGCACTACATCGACGGCGGTCCTAGAGAGGCAGGAGTGGAGGTCATGGAGCGAATCTCTGCTGGGAGCGGCACTCGCAGCGGCAAAACTGCGGGTCCCAGTGAGTAAGCTGGAACAGAGCTTGCTTTGGCGGCAGGGGACCCTACCGGTTCGGCTAGGGGGGGCTAGGCATCATTGACCCCACCTCGGAGGCACCAACAGCCTACATCGCATCTGTCACGGCAGCCCAACACCTGCTACAACAGATGAACCTGCCCAAGGGGTACCTCCTGAGCCGGACGGTCACGCTACTGGACCACTCCTGGAGTACCGCCCCACCTGGTGTCAATCAGCTGGCCCCACTGGAAGCAGCTCTGCCAGCACCTGCGAGAACCGCATTACATGCGTTCAGGGAGTAGCCAGCAGGACAGGGTAACCTACAACTCGTCCTGTCTCGACACATCAACGAGAGAAGAGCCGCGGAGCTACTGGTAGACACGATGACAGACCGCCCTGGCCAACACCGTGGGCATGCAATACGCCTCATCAGTTTGCAAGGCGTGGGAGCGGGGGACTGGCTCCATGCCATGCCTTCGAGAGCTGACCTTATATTTGCCCCTGGTCAGTTCTCCTTAGCGCTAAGGTTCCGCATGGGCATGTCCCTGCTGATCACTGTAAGAGAGAGTATTCAGACATCAACAACACAAGTCTGCCGAACCATCTCCTTAGGTGCGGGTACGGGGGCGACGTTCCTAGAACGCACAACGCACAAGTGTTTGCGGCCCTCAGAATGGCAAGGGAAGCGGACTTCACGTGCTTCCATGAGACATCAGCCTTTTCCCCACCGATCCTCAGGAAGAGAGGGGACCTGGTGATTAGAGACAAGGAATCAAACAAGACGTGGGTTACAAACGTCACGGTGACTGACCCCGTGCTCCAGCAGCGCGACACCAGGGCACGGAAACTACGGGGGTCGAGCCCCTTGGTTCTGCTGTGCGTGGGCTGCGGCGGTTGTTGCATGCAGGGACTGGATCCGGGGCGATCGCCGCAGGCACAGTGTTGGTGCGTGAGTTGCATCGCACGCTGTCAGGGCTGCTTGCTGTGTTTGATGCGGATCAGGTCTAGCGTCCGCGTGCCCCGGGAGCTCACCGCGTGTAGATGCGGGCTCCTCTTGCTCCATGCTTCACCTAGGCTAGAGTGGTGTGTGCCACCTAAGGCTCTGGATCCAGGCTTGTGAGCTCATTATTCACTGGTGAGTTAGGTTCACTCTCCAAATCCAGCGGCTCGCGCCGGCCGCCTTTGGTGGCCGCCGCTCGCCAGCGCGGCCTTCGGTCGCGCGTGAGGGGTGGCAAGGGTACAAGCAACACAAGACCATTAACAACATGTGGTACATCAGGTGCAACTAGCAGGGAAGAACAAGAACACCACCCCCTGGCCAGAGGAGTCCGGCATAAGAAGCCCAAGGCAAGGCCCAACACCACGGGAGCCTGCAAGGGAAAACCACCTGTTACTCGGCGAGGATCCAGAATAGCCTCCCGTCCATCCAGCGCAGTACGAATGCAGCTGCTGATACAAGACCGAGGGGGCTCCCCCGGGTAGACTCATCAAGCCTTACCATTGCCCAGGGGCGGGGCCCGAGCGCAGCACCAGGAGCACCCGGCAGAAGGCCGATCAAAGGTAGATAGTGCAGCTTCTCCGTGGCCGCTGCCACAGCCGCAGACCGCTCCGCGGGCAACATCCCCCCAACCTCCAAGCCTTGCCGCGCCAAACACACGTGGAGCTGGTCCAGCACATATGACAGCAACGTTAAGCACGTCCCCGCGTGCACAAAGCGCTGCTCAACGAGGGGAGGCGTCGCGGCTACAGGAGCAGCAGCGTGAGGAGCAGGCAAGACAGGGGGAAGTGGTAGCACTGGAGGCGCTGGTGGATGGTGCGGCGGATGCTGGGGCAGGGGAAACGAGTTCACGGGAGGATGCTGCTGCTGTGGAGCCTGGTATGACGCTAGGGGTGGAGGCTGTTGTTGCTGCGGCGGCTGATCCGATAGAGGTGGAGCAGGTGGAGCGCTCGCCTCCTGCTGAGACTGCTGCCGCCTCTGACGACGGCTTAGTCTCACCCGTGGTGGCGCGGCCGGCGGCGATGACGCCACCGGCAGACGAGATTCTGGCTGCGGAGGAGGAACAGGGGGAGTCGGGGCTGCGCGTTCCACCGACGCCAGCAGTGGCAGATTCCCCGCCAACTCTCGAGGAGACTGAGATCGCGGCGGTCGTGGCTGAGGCAGTGAGGCAACAAGGACAACCTCCGAGCGAAGCGGGCGCCCCGACTGCCGCTGTGTTCGCCAGAATGCCTGCTGCTGCCGCGACCACAAACACGCATGAGCACGGCCAGGCGGAGGGTGGAATTGAGGGCCGTGCGATCGCCGTCGCTTCCGGCGCCGCCCGGCGAGGAGGAAGACGAAGCTGCGCGCGCAGCCAGCACCGAGGCGGCTTGGAGCAGGGCTGGGACCTGGGGCCCCGGGACCCCTCCTGGGCTGGCTTCGGCAAGGGCAGTCGCCACCAGAGCAAGCGCATTGGTTGCCATCAGCGCCAGAGCCTGCGGCGGGACCCAGCATGAGGAGAAACATGGGTGAGGTTGGTCAAGCATAACGGGGCGCCGAGCAGTCTAGTCCGAGGCAACAACCATTTATCACACCCACGACCCAGCAGAAAACTCACCGATAAACGCGGAGCTTGACGCAAGGCCGAGGAATCGTGTGGGGTAGGCCGTCAGGTGCGGGACGAGCGACTATGGCGACCCCCTGGGTCCCAGCTTGTAGAGGTTTAAGGTCTACACGGGAGAGCGCAAGGGGCACCGGTAACGGCATACTCTCCGCGATCCCCCACATAGGAAGAGGGGGAAGGGGAGGGACACGCGGAAGGGGAGTAACAATTCTGGGGGGAGAGGCCGCGATCGCGAGATCAGGCCCGTAGCGTGATCACCACGACCGGCTAGAGCGGGTGGCTGCGCCCGTGACTGGGGGCGAGGATGGTTCTGATAACTCCCAGAACGGGAGCGAGTCTATCCCGTCGCACTCTGAGGCATTGGAGGAGGTCTCGCTGGGCAATGACGAGAATCAGAATGTGCTTGAGCAGAGGCGAGTGAGGAGGGGGGAGCAAGGTGGTGTGCCACATCCTCCCAATATGCCAGCAGGAGAGGCTGCAAATGCGCCAGCGCGGCCATCTGAGAAATCACCCGCCGAGCTGGCGAAAGATGAGTCTATCTGGCATCTGGCCAGCACTTGGGATATCGCGCCGCTTCAGCAAGCAGACTAACCGTTTCTGGTGAGACGGTTGCCTCCAAAGATCCTGGAAAGCTACACCTTGTGCTTTCTGGCACCACTGCTGCGGCTGCCACACACCCGGACTGCGTGGGGGCGTGGACTGTGCTATAGTTCTTGCCCCGTTTGACCCTTTGACCTCTCCTAGAGCCACTGGAAGGGAACCGCTGGTTAATGATTGAGACTCGACTGCACCACTTCAGGCTTGGGGACCTGGCCGATCTCTATAGTGAGGCGTGCGTGATCCCCGATACTGGAGCTCCGACACGTCGTCAGCCAGACAAGGCAGGCCTGTGTGCGCGAGCAGAAGGGCTGATAAAGAAGGCCAACATTTCAAAAGCAGTGTCTGCGTTACAAGTGACCCCGCTAGCGGAACCGACACCCGCTACACTCGCCGCCTTACATGCAAAACACCCGGTAGGGGAAATACCAATTCCGAGCTGGGTAACCTACCGCACCGGGGCGCCAGCCTCATCCTTGAACCCGACCCCAAGCGATGTTCGAGAAATACTCGCGAAGTGCCCGAACGGAGTTGGAGCTGGGCCCTCAGGCACCTGTTTTGAGCACTTAAGGACCCGGCCCACTGCAGCGCGGAAATCCTCCTACTCCTCACCAAGTTCATCGTCCAGCTACTCAACAGCGCACAAACGAGAGAGATACGGGACATCCTCCTTCCATCCCGGCTGATAGCACTCGAGAAGCCAGGGGGGGCGTACGACCTATCGCTAAAAGAGAGGCCCTGCTTAGGGTAGCAGCAGAGGCGGCACTACGCGAGTTAGCCCCAACGATTCGCGAATTCTTCCTCCTCGTCCAGTATGGTGTGTCCGTGCCTGGCGGGGCTGAGTGCGTCATCGACACTGTATGCGCTTTCTTCGGGAACACGAACACTACGTCGCGCTTTAGCTGGATGTAGAAAACGCGTTTAATTCGGTTCAGCGGGAGGCGTTTTTCTCGGCACTTGAGATCTCGGACCTGCACCAGCTGCTGCCGTTTGTCGGAATGCTGTATGACTCACCATCGCGTCTTCTGGTCGACCCGGCCCTAGGAGTGGAGCACATCATGAGCTCCCGTGGCGTGCGTCAAGGTGATCCCCTCGGTCCACTCCTATTTGCAACGGCGATCCATCCGACCCTGATGTGCGCGGCAACTTTGCACCCAGGAGAAGCTGTCATAGCGTACGCCAACGACATCACAGTGGTGGGGCCACAGGAGGATATGCTCAACGCCTTTGATTCCATCGTCACAGAGTTGGCAAAGCGCAGGCTGCGGTGCAACGTGGCAAAGTCGTCGGCATGGGGACCACAGGAGGGGGATGAGGAGCGGATGGGATTGCCACATGGTTTGCGGATGAGTACGGAGGGGATCAAGGTGCTTGGCAGCCCCATCGGCACGCCGAAGTACTGTACCTCAGAGGTCCGACAGGAGCTCACCAAAGCATCGGCATCCGTCCCTCTGATCACGCAGCTACACCCGCAACACGCCCTACTACTTCTCTCTCGCAGAATCTCGCGCAGGATCTCATACCTGCTCCGCACCACATCGAGCAGCGCATTGGAACGTAAGGAGTGGCGGGCTTGGAGCGAATCACTGGTGGGAGGGGCGCTTACTCCAGCCAAGCTATGGGTCCCGGCTAGTGAGCTGGAACAGAGCCTATTGTGGCGACAGGCTACTTTGCCCGTGCGCCTCGGGGGGCTGAGCATCATCGATCCCATCTCCAAGGCATCCGCGGCATACATTGCGTCATTGACAGCAGCACATCACCTGTTTCAGCAGATGAACCTGCGGGAGCAGGAGCTACTAGCGCAGGCGGAGGCACTGCTGTCCAGAGAGTGGATCCCAACGCCCCCAGCGTCAAACGTGCTGGTTACCCCGGAGGAGGCACGGTCGGCACTACAGTCCTACAGGGAGGGACCCCAGGGGCAGGGTAACTTGCAGCTTCTCCTGTCCAAGCACATCAACGCGGTCCGGGCCAGGGAGCTCCTAGCGGACACTTTGGTTGACAAACCAGGGGAAGATCATGGGCACGGGGTCCGGCTGGTCAGTTTAAAGGGAGTGGGAGCCGGGGACTGGCTACACGCAGTGCCAACGAGGTCTGACCTTACATTTTCCCCTGGTCATTTCTCGTTGGCGCTCGGGTTCCGCCTTGGGATGGCCCTACCAGTCACGGTCAAGTGCCCCTATAAGCACGACAACTCGGATATCAAGGACACTAGTCTGGCAAATCACCTGCTTTGATGTGGGGAAGGGGATGATGTGGTGAAGACGCAAAATGCCCTGGTCTACACGGCGCTGAGAATGGCAAAGGAGGCGGGCTTCAATTCTTTCCACGAGACGTCGGTGTTCCCCCCCCCCCCCCCCCCCCCCCCCCCCCCCTCCCGGTGCACCGCAAGAGGGCGGACCTCGCGTTCCAGGACAGGGAATCGGCGGAGACCTGGGTCATTGATGTAACGGTGACAGACCCGGTGCTGCAGAAGCGAGACCCTGGGTGCGGAAGCCGCCTCGGTGGGCCGCGAGGGAAGCTTCTGAGAGGAAGCATCGCCTGTACAAAGGCCGGCCCGACTACGTGGAATGTTTCGGCCTTGCAGTGGAGACCTACGGGGCGTTGGCGACTGACACGATGCAGTTCCTAAGGTTGCTAGCTGTAGCCATGGTGAAGAAGTTCCGGCAGGGGCCCCTCACTACAACTGCCTCTGGGCTCAATGCACACTACCGACAGCGCTGGTTGGTTATGCTACAGCGCTCCCAAGCCATCTCGTTCCTCAACAAGTCCAACATGGCAGCGGAAGTGGCTTTCCCACAGGCTGCCATGGACCCCTGGGTGTTGGTGCAACCCTACGGTTTGCACTCGGCTTGTTGTCCGTGTGCGTGCATGTGTGTGTGTATGGAATGGTATGATGGCATGGGATAATATATATTTGATGCTTATAATTGTGTGTGAATGTTGAGTCAGGATGTCGAGTGTGTGTGTCGAGTCAATAGCGAGTTATCGCTAGACGCGTGTTACGCGGTCGTTTGTGTCTCGCGCGCGGTTTCTATTTTGTCGTGCGCGGTTTCTATTTTGTCCTATGTCGAACGTTCAGCGTGTCGCAGGTGTGTGCAGAAGACCCATCAAGAACTCAAGGATGAGTTTGTGATGAAGAGCCCGAGCCTTGGTGTCAAGCCTCAAGTGATTTCGAAGCTCGCCAAAAGGGTACACCTCAAGATATTGAAAATAGTTACATTACTTTGTGTAGTGTAACATTTCACTTGGTGTAGGCCCTAGTGAAGGGTAGTTTCGAGACCCTTCGTGGTTGGGGACAGTGTGGCACTGTTCCACATCACTGTACCTCGGCTCTTGGGGTTTGTAGGAGCTGGGAGTCATTCCCAACTCGTAACTCTTCCTAACTCTTTCTATCTTTTGTTCTAAGACTATGTTGTTGCCATAGTGCCGTTCGTTCAAACCAACGCTGTGTCGTCAGTTCTTAATGAAAGCGTGCGATTTAAATTGCCCATTGTAGACGACGTTACGGCGCTCCAGATCCAAGTTGAATGAAGTCATTTAGAGTTGTGAGCAGATCGCTATGAACGTTTGAAGCCGTTGTGCAGAAATCCGACTTTGCACTCTATCTTTCGTTTTAGGCACATTGGAGCCTACTGTGACTATAACACTGGGAACCAAGCCTGGGGACTTGTGGCAGGTGCTGGAAGACGACTTGGCTGGAGTGTAGAGGCTGGGGGGAGATACTTTGGGGTAATGGTGAGGAGAAGAGGAAGGCGGTATCAAGGATAGGGGTACTAAACAGCTGTAGTGGTTGTTAGCAGCTGTTGAAGGGGGTGACCTGTATGCCGGTCAGCTTGCTTGTATGCCTGGAGCTTGATTGCTTGCTTACTTGCTAGCCAAAAGTGTATAGAGTAGCCAACCTGTCTAGAGCCTGCCGTTGCATGCCTGTACCCTTGCACCAACATCAATGAAGGACTGCTTAAGAGAGAGAGAGAGAGAGAGAGAGAGAGAGAGAGAGAGAGAGAGAGAGAGAGAGAGAGGGAGAGAGAGAGAGAGAGAGTTAGAGAGAGAGAGACCTCACCTTCTCGCCCGGGCAATTCGCCATAGCCCTATGCTTCAGGCTCGGCCTTTCCCTTCCAATCACAGAAAACTGCCTCTGCCGCGGCAAGCGCTCCAAGATAGGAGACAGCAGCCTGCCGAATCACCTGCTGAGATGCGCGGATGGGGGGGACTGCACCAACACCCACAATGCGCCGGTGTATGCGGCACTACGCATGGCACGTGAGGCGGATTACACTACCTTGCACGAGACAACCAGATTTTTGCCCCCAATCAACCCTAAACGGGCGGACCTGGTCTTCCGTGACAGGGAGTCGGGTGAAACCTACCTCACAGACGTGATGAGGACCGACCCAGTGCTGCAGAGGCGGGACACCGAAGGGAGAAAGGCGCCAGGGTGGGCAGCAGAGGACGCTGCCTGGACCAGAAGTGTGAGGATCTAGGATCGAGCGCAGAAAAGAGAATGTGAATTGAATTGAATTGAATCGAATGAATCACCTGGGTACAACACGAGGCTATACATAGGCTCGACACAAGGCCCTGTAACCAAGTGTTACGTCCCCAACAGATCCTTACCAAATTCGGTAGAAGGCAATTTGGTGGCAACCGAAAAGCCAGAATTCGGTGCACGCAACTTAGTTCGGTGCTATAACTATAATAAAATATAGGAAAGCACCTAGCCTAGGAAATCAAGCAATTCATGCATGCATATAATTATCCTACGCTAGAAATAGCATAATAAAGAAAAGGCAAGCAAGCATAGCTGGCATAAGCCGTTGTACTCTCACACGTCCCCCCCTCAAAGCTTCGTGGTGTGAGATACACCCTGCTTCACAAGATAGTCCTTGAGAGCACGGAGTGCGTTGCCCATATCAGCTTCTGCAACCCAACTGACCTCAGTGGGGTCGTATCCCTTCCAGCGTATCAGGAACTCAGGGGTCTTTTCGCCGCGGCAT